TGCTTGATTTCCAGGTGATCTGGGGATGCCAGAAGAGCTGAGGGAGAACACCAGGCCTATGACATAGATCAAAGCAATTCATGTTTTCACATTCCTCTTGTTGCCTTTCTCTCATTTTTTCTATTCATTTTTTCTCTCACTTTAAACTGTATCTCATTCCCTGTGCTTATCCTGTTTCTTCCAAATTTCTACGGAATTCAAAAGGTTTCCAAATTTCATCCTTCATAGCATGTGTGATGCCTTTGTATATTCTCTTATCAAAAAACAAACAAACATGTGTGCTGGAAATTATTTATTGCTATCAGTTACACTTGACTAGATATGATTACTTATTTTCTGACTTAATAAGCCGAATATAGCATAAAGGAAAGAAAAATATGCGGTGTATTTGACAATTATTTTATGGCAACCAGAATCTTCTAATGAAGTCTGGTAACAGAATCAACATTTGTGTATGAAAACAAACCAGAATAGTTTCCACAGTTAAGTAGAGTTCACAAAGCCCTGATCTTATGAGTAGGTATATGGCAAAAACCACATTAAAACCTTGTTTACCCTGGCACTAGAGAGAATCATAATAATCCAACTATAACCTCTGAAATACAATATGCTTGCAAGGTTGAGGGGAGGGAGACAAAGGAGAACAGAACTGAGAAGGGAGGGAAAGAGGAAGAGGGGAAGAGAGAGAAGGATAGGGAGAAGGAGAGGGAGAGAGAGAGAGAACATTCAGGAAAGATGGAGAACATGTAGGATAGAGAACATAGGGATAGAAGATAAAGAAACAGTAGATATAGGTGATGTCATTTGACTCCTGGATCAAGCAATTGAAGCTCTGTGTCTTTTACTTTCAAGAACCATTACCATTTTGTATTTTTGTTTGGGTACAATCAAATTGCCTGAGTTAGGTTTTCTTCAACTTGGATCATTCCAAATATTCTCTATTCATCCCTGCCTTAGTTCAGAGCTATTTATTATTTTCTATATGCATATAAAAATAAATAAACAATATCCTGAACTCTGAAAAGACCGAGCCTAGGAGACACAGTTGTATATAGATTATTAAAACTTGATGTGGACATGTAATGAGAGAAATGCACACATTTAAGACCTAAGGTATTATAAGAAAACCATCTTTCAGCTTTAATGGAAAATGAGCAGTTATTTGGGTGAAAATGGAAAGAAAGGACAATATTCTAAGCAAAAGGGATAGTGGAAGCTAAGACAGGACCAAAATGAATGGCATGGTGTGTGTAGCTTCGCTGTTACTCAGGTGGAAATATTTCCTTTTTGGAGTTTTCTGAGACTACTTGGTTTGATTTCATACCACATCTTTTGTCTACCACAAATGCCTTCTAAAATAATCTAAAATAATTTTTGCTTCATAGACCTACTTTCCCTATAGACATCAAGTCTCTTGAAGATAGGAGAGTATGAATTAAAAATTAGAAATGAATATGCACACATACATTGAATTCCATTGGTCTGAATGTTTAATTTCTTCCTTATTCATGCTTTTTCGTTTATGAAACATTTACAGAATAACTCAAAAGGTGATGAATATATCTAGTATTAAGAAAATTAATAATCAGTGAAGAGAAACAAAGCATATGATATTTCTGACTTATTCAATTATCAAGGTGTTGATATTCTGAAGAATTATTTAGAAGATTCTGAAATTATTATAAAATTATTATTATAATTCAGGTAAAACTTCCCTTGAACTTATCTTTGATTTGGTAACCCTTAACAAATGTTTTAACCAAGGACATATAATTGCTTTGGAATGAAATAGAAGGCCAGAATCCTTTCGGTTCTCAACACTTATACAGCTACAATTTATTAAGAAAACGTCAATAATTTATATGTTTCTGCTACATAGTTTCAGAACAAAGTAGCATATTCAAGAACATATTTTCACCTTGTTTTCCATTCACTTCTTCACTTACAGTTTATAGAGGGAATAATAAATATGAGCTTTCCAAAACTCTTATTGTGATATAAAATTGACGTTCTACCAGTATCTTTTAAAAAATAAAATATTGCATTTATAACACAGAACATGTCTCGTACACATCTGTAGGAATGGCTGTTCCTTGGGAAAATATTGAAATAGGTGAAAGCTAAAGGCTGCTCAGATTCATTTTTTTTTTTTTTTTTTTTTTTTTCTTCTTTATCTCTTTCCCCCCCCCCCCCCCCCCCCCCCCCCCCCCCCCCCCCCCCCCCCCCCTCTTTCCACAGTTCCCTCTTTTTTTCTTTTTTTTCCCCCTCCCCCCCCCCCCCCCCCCCCCCCCCCCCCCCCCCCCCCCCTTCCTTTTTTTTTTTTTTTTTTTTTTTTTTTTTTTTTTTTTTTTTTTTTTTTTTTTTTTAATAATTTACACAGATTCATCTTTTTAGATGCTCTATAGTGCTGCTTGAGAAGCTCAATCCCTATTGCCTTGCTGTGGCTAGTTTGTCTGTACTGTGAGGGCTCTGAACAGACTTCTATGCTCCCCTATACACCAGATATTTTCTTCCCACTAAACTATTCTCTTCAAACCCTGTGATTGTTGGTTCCAAGGGGAAAAATGAAAGGTACACATTTAATCAGGAAGAGAATGATATATGTCAAACACATAGCTAGCTAAATATGTTACGCCTCTTAGGTAACATATTCCTTTAGCCCATTTAAAATACAAAATCTTCTCAATAAGTCCCCTAAGGTATGATATTAATGGTGAAGAATTTCAACGTAAGGTCAAAGTAGCAGAATAACATACAGTCGATATTTTTAGGTACATTTTGGTATCACTTTAATCATTTAAGTGAAATAATATATTCTGTTTCCATGTGAAGATAGGTCTCCTTTGAAGTCAAAATTAATCAGCAGTAGAGTGATCATAAAAAGTATTAATTGGATAATTCATTCATCAAAATAAATGATGTGTTTTGGAAAGAATTGAATTCATCTTTTTTGTGCAATTATTTTCCTTAAATTAATACTAATATTCTTAATATATTGTTCATTCATTTGAACTATTATTGTAAAAACTCAAAGAAAAAATGACTTGGCCCCCCAGCAAAATACATTCTTGTATAGATGAAATCTAAACCAGGATTGGGCTGAGGGAGGACGTGATGTCGGGACTAGCTATTTTCAGAGTCTGATTGTCTATAAGCTTGAATCCACACTTAGATTCTCAAAAAGTGAAATATTAAAAATAAATATTTCTAGTCCATGCCAGGTTATATTTATTCTTTTTGGCTGTGATATTTTCGCCTCAATTTATATCATGCCAGCTGAAATTTTAGCAAGATTTTGCCTCCAAAGAAGCTCAAGAGCAGGAGGTCAATAATTCGTAAATGCTACTCGTACTTCGAGGTAATTATTTAATCACTGCTTATATTTTTTTAGAATCACATATTTCAAATAATGCCATTGCTTTTTTGAAATTCCAATTTTCTAATCACTTCCTCTTACTTCTATCTTTTGTCATCTACAAATTCTCCAGATTTAAGTTGTACAAAGTTTGACACACTCTTTTAGCTTTAAGTTGATCAATATAAAATGTAGATGACATTTTGTCTTACAATTTTTCATTAGAGTAGCACCGCTTTTTATAGTACATTTCATTTTTATATATATGTTCAAATCTCTAAAATAATGCTACTGAGTTGAATTATGTTCAATTCATGTCCTCTGTGATCTTTAGGTTCTTTTCTGTCATTGTCATCCCTAATTACTCATTCTGTATCTTGTCTGCATCATGTTTTTTCTTAGAGTAGTTCCTGGTTTTTACCTGACCTCAGGGTTTTCTTTATTTCTGGCTACACTTGCAACTTGTCAAGGTCAATTAGAATTATAATCTTCTCCTCTAAAGGGCTAGCCAACCCAAGCATTTATTCTTCTAGCTGACTAATAAAATACATAAAGCTGTACTCAGTTCAGAACCTAATAAATACTCCTTACAACTTCTGTACAGTAGGTATTAATAGTACTATGTTAATTGAAAAGATATCTGTGAAGTAGCCAATTAAATGAAAAATGCCAAGGTTATAACTCTTATTACATCTACCAAATGGCTTTCCCATACTTTATAATTATAGACCATAGTTCTGACCTTTGTCACAAGTGACACAAAGACATGCATGTTCAACATTTAAAAGATTAATTGAACATCAAAGATCATTAAACATCATATTGTTATCTAAAAGATATAGCCTATTATAAGATGTCAATATACCTGCCGGTATCAAAATATGGTCTAAATATTAAGGCAAAACATAGAAAACCAAGTTCAGTAATTTAGGCAGATTATAGCTACCCAATCTTAAGTAAGAAAACTGTGATAAGAAGTGTAGGTTGAATGGTTAAAAAGAAGAGGGATACAATAACATTCATTTCATCATCTTTATGATTCTCACCATATATAATGATCTTTATAAAACTATGTTAAATTTTTTATCTTGAGTCTGTTAAAAATGATAAAATAATTTTATAAACCAAGGGGTTTTAAGAACAGAAGTAATATATATTATATGAAGTAGTCATTTCTCCTTGTGATAATTCTGAGTAAAACTCTTATGCAGAATATAAATACAAAGTTTAAGTAGAAATTTTTTTTTAATTTTTCATTTCCTCCACCTCAGACTTTGAAATGGAAAAATAAAATTTTATTTATTCATGGTAACTTGATACACAGCTTTCAGCAGTGGGGGTGGAATATATGGGGTGATACCTAGTATACGTAGGTTCTTTCCAAAATGGCTGAGTTATTGACATACCTACCATCTGCATATGTAAAATATACTCTACATTAAAACTAGATGCTATAGCCAGTAAATAGATCACTGTTACATGTTTTTTTTAAAAAATAAGTTTCACCTATGCACATGGGCTTTGAGCATATTTCAGGCAGCTCCTGAATAAAAATCAAAATTAGCTACTTGTTGCCATTTAATGTATTTCATCATATGAAGAAAAACAAAAGATAGAGAGCCCTCTAGAAAGCAAGCTGTAATATTTATAACAATTCTTCAGGTGGGGATGGCAGTGATTCACTGAGATCTTGATCCACATTAGGAAGAATAGAGATCTCCTGACATTGGATCTCATTATCTAAAAATCTTCCAAGTTTTTTAGATAATGTCCTAGGGGCAAGGGCAATGCAAGTGAATCGGGGGGAGGTGGAAATGACTGTTTGAGCTCAGAATTATGATCTTCACAAAGTTGACTGGGATGGTCCAGAGTTGGGAGGAGGCTGGTGGAATCATTTGGAGAAGGAGATAAAATTGGTACTGTGGGTTTGTCAGATTGGTTACTCTCCTGTCCTTCCAAATTGAGAAGCTGAGGAGGTGGTGGAGGCAGGTCTGCCTCATCTGAAGAAGAAACAGCAGTGCCAATTGTGGATCCACCAGCACTGTCCTCTGATGTAGCATTTACTTGATCTTTTATTTTATCTGTTTTGGAATTGTTGGAATCGTCAATGTTTTCAGTTGATTCAAACAACTTAATTTCTAAGTCATCTGCTAAGAGTGTGCTTTTGTTTGATTTCCAGGCCATAAGTGAAATAATTGATGTACGTTTTGTGGATGCTTCATTTTCTTGAAGTTATCCAAACACATATCAGGGGTTTCACCATCAGCAAATGGAGACCTACCTGCCCAGTTTTGATCATTTAAAACTGGTTTTCTCAAGCACTTGTGTAATAAAATGATGATTATAACTGCCAACATAGAAACCAGAATTACTCCAACTATTATGGCAGCTATATAGTTAGAATCGGTTTTATGTGGGATATGTGTGTTACTGGTATCTTCTGTGATGAATCCTGGTGTAATCCTAGGTGGCCTTTTGTCAGCTGATGTTGGTTGTATAGGTACATTTTGAATAGCTGGTCGTACTGCCTCTCCCGGAGAGGTGTGGACAGGTAGTGGTTGTTGAACAGAAGTATGGACAGATGGTTGTGATTGTCTGGTAGAAGTGTAGGCAAAGGTTGGTAGTTGTCTGCCAGGGGTGAACACAGGTTGTGCTGTTTGTTGGGAGACGGTACTGGCCATTGATGTTGTTTGTCTGGTGGTGGTATAGACAGGTGGTTGTCTGGCAGATGTTTGTGCTGCTGGTTTTCCAGAAGAGGCAACTGCTGTTGGTTTTCCAGCAGAACCTTTGGCAGTCGGTGTTGGTTGACCCAAAGGATTTCCTGTTGAGTTTTGAGAATTAGCCAAGACATATGGCATTGATGAGCTAAGTAAAGTAGACTGTGGTTGCTTCTCTGTTGTAATTGCTTTTATCGCTGAGAAAAATGTATTGTTCAGGTGTCCACAAAACAAAATTAAAATGAAATATTTGGGATCCATTTCAGAATGTTTCCTAGGTGGTCAAGTAGTCCTACTGCTGCTTTCATTCATTTATTCACAGACGTCATATTTGTGTCAGGCCCTCAGTTGTTAAATTCTTTTGCTGGATCTTAAGTAGAAATTTTTTATACAAAGACTATTCATACCTATGCTGAGTTGCCATTTTTCGTCACGTAAAAAGATTGCTTGTGAAAAAATAAGCTTGTCTTCCAGCTTATTTTAGAATTTCAACACAGTCTAGGCATATTTTACCTACTGAATGGCAGCTATCTTTCAGGCACCTTTAATGGATATATACATATAGATTGATATCTATCTCTGTATCTCTATCTATCATCTATCATCTATCTATCCATAGAGATCTCCAAATTCTATATGTTAACACTTAACTCCTCTCTAACTACAACTCTTAATATTCTTTAAACCTCACTCTACCCAAAATGACCTTCTTATAATTCTTCAAATACTCAAGAATATATGTGCCTTAAGAAATATCCACTTTTCTTCTTCTGATCTGAGACTCTGTATCCCAGATTTGAGCATGCTGATTCTTTCTTCTTTTTCAATATTTTACTCAGATATTATGTACAGAGAGAAATGGCCCTGATACTCCAGTTTAAAATTCTGTGTTCCCACCACTGCCCAATCACTACTTCTTATTCCCCTTACATATTTTATTTTCTATTTAACAACATTAATATCTAAAAAGACATTTAAAAACTATTTGGTTCCTCTTACTAGACTGACTTGTGGAAGGTTTTTCTCAGTTTTTTTATTATTAGTTTTCCAATGCTCAGAATGATGCTTGACCTATTATGGCATTTCAATAAATATAGACTACAAAATAGATATTAAGACTATTCACCAACTTATGAAGAATACAAAATAGTTAAAATGTATGCTCTTAAGTCAAATTGTCTGAGACCAGGAGCCCAGTTTCACAATTTTCTAATCTTATGATTTTGAGAAAGTCATTAACTCTGTTGGGCTTTGGAGTCTTTATTTTTGCATGGAGTAATTACAGTTTCTAGCAGTATTAGTTTCTAGGGCTGCTGTAACAAATTACCACACACTGAGTTCCAGCCAAGATGGAGCATAGGTAGAAATGCTTTGCTTCCTCGCACAACAAAAAGAAGGATAACAACCAATTTAAAAACAATAAACAACCAGAACTGCCAGAATAGCAAATTGCATGGAAGTCTGACAACAAAGGAGTTAAAAAAACATTCTTCCAAACTGGTAGGAGGGGTGGACTCGGGCAGCCTGGTGGGCAGAGAGGACCCACGGCAGGGCAGGAGACTGGGAGGGCAAGGAGGGGCTGGCCGACCAGGAAACTAAAGACTCCAAACCTCCAGCTATAAAATACTGTGGGGGTTGCAAAGGCGGGAGAAACTCCCAGCTTTGATTTCTTAAATTAATGCAAATATGCTTAATACTGTTCACTCGTTTCAACTATTATTGTAAAAACTCAAAGAAAAAAATGACTTGGCCCCCAGCAAAACATATTCTTGTATAGATGAAATCTAACCGAGGGTAAGGCTGAGGGAGGAAACAATGTTGGGACTAGCTATTTTCCGAGCCAATTGTCTATAAGCTTGAATCCACATTTTGATGCTTGAAAAAGTGAAATATTAAAAATAAACATTTCTAATCCATGCCAGGTTATTTTGTTCGTTTAGGCTGTGATATTTTAACAAACACAGGAGAGTTTGTTGGAAAGTGGAGCTAGAGCAGAGCAAGCCAGTGGCTTCATTTTCTCTCTGGCCCCTCTCCCACACACAGGGCCACAGAGCAGCAAAGAGGGTTGCCCCGCCCTGGTAAATACCTAAGGCTGCACCCCTTACAACAGAACAGTTGAACAAAGAAATATGCCCAAAATGAAAGAACAGATCAAAACTCCAGAAACAGAGCTAAGTGACAAGGAGATAGACAGCCTATCTGATGCAGAGCTCAAAACACTGGTAACTGGGGTGCTCACAGAATTCATTGAGCTCAGTCACAAAATGAAGGAAGAAATTAAGGCTACACAAAGTGAAATAAAGCAAAATATACAGGGAACAAACAGTAAAGGGAAGGAAACTGGGACTCAAATCAATGATTTGGAACAAAAGGAAGAAATAAACATCTAACCGAAACAGAATGAAGAAACAAGAATTCAAAAAAATGAGGAGAAGCTAAGGAACCTCTGGGACAACTTTAAGTGCTCCAACATCTGGATCATAGAGCTGCCAGAAATAGAAGTGGAAGAGCAAGAAACTGAAAACTTTTTTGAACAAATAATAAAGAACTTCCCCATTCTGAGAAAGGAAATAGACTTCCAGGAATCCAGGAATCCCAGAGTCCCCAAAAAATTGGACTCAAGGAGGAATACACCAGGGCACATAATTAAATTCTAATTATTAAGTCCTAGATATGAAGTAAATTGCATGTTAAAAATATTAGGTTAATATTAGCAGTACAATTAATAGTTAAAGATTGTATATGTATATGCGTATAAGTGTATATACATACAGTGGGAGGCAAAAATAGATTTACAGTTATGATTATGCAAAACATAATTCTTATATTCTTTTATTCTTGTATTCTTAATTAATTTTTGCATTATTTTCCATATGAACAACTATAAACCTACTTTATTTCCACCCTGTTTACACAAAATAGCATACACAAATACTAAAGATTTAACAAGGACTTATATATAAATATGGGAAAAATAAATATGCCACAATTTGCAAAAATAGTTATTATGAATACATTTTAAAATCAGAAAATTGGACAAAATTAGGACTTGAAAAACAGATCCTTCCATATATGGAAACTGATATATGACAGAGGTGGAAAGAGCTCACAGGAGATACAATGAATGCTTCAACCACTGTGTTAGCAAAATTTGGTGATCACATTAAAAATAGATTGTCATGAATTAAAATGGATTAAATATATATGAAAGAATTAAACATTTCAAAAATCTTTAAAATATTGAGGGGAGTCATAAGAAATTTGAATTTTAAAATATGAGCACAATGGTACATTTCTGGAACAAAATATGAAAATGCAGACCATTATAAATAAGTTTATTTTATTTAGCTATATTATAATTTAAAAAAAAACCTTTCGTACAACTAAAGGAACCATGAATAAAGTTAAAAAACATCAAGGAGTGCATAGAAGAGTTGACAACATATTTAAAAGGCAACAGGATAACACCTGGATACATGAGTAAGTCTTTAACCATTTATTATTTTAAAACTTCAGTATTAAATCCCTGTTTTATATCAGGTACTTTTGTAATTTTGGGCAATATTGGTGAAAAGAGCAAAAGAGGTCTCAATATTTTGTGAGTTTACATTTTAACAAAGAGACTAGAGATAATAAAAAAATGAAATATTTTCTGTGTTTAAAAAAAAAGCTAGTAATGAGAATAGGAGTATGGCGACTGGGAGTGGAATTGCAATTTTATTACTTGTGGTCAGTTAGAGCAGGTCTCACAATACTTTATCTAAGAGTGAAGACTTACTGGAGTGTGAAGTTAACTTTTCATGTACCTGCTCTTTAAGCAGAAAGAAGAGATGATATAAAAGCTCTAACGTTGGAACTTGTCAGTGTATATTCAAGGTAAAGATTAAGGTTGATATCTGGTGTTGAATAAGGAAGGAGGTAAGCAGGAGTTGAAGATGTCAGAATGTGAACCTTGTATGCCATTGTTAGGCATTCTTTCTTTTCTTTTTCTTTCTTTCTTTCTTTCTTTCTTTCTTTCTTTCTTTCTTTCTTTCTTTCTTTCTTTCTTTCTTTCTTTCTTTCTTTCTTTCTTCCTTCCCCTTCCCCCCCCTCCTCCTCCTTTTCCTTTCTTTCTTTCTTTCTTTCTTTCTTTCTTTCTTTCTTTCTTTCTTTCTTTCTTTCTTTCTTTCTTTCTTTCTCTCCTCCCTCCCTCCCTCCCTCCCTCCCTCCCTCCCTCCCTCCCTCCCTTCCTTCCTTCCTTCCTTCCTTCCTTCCTTCCTTCCTTCCTTCCTTCCTTCCTTCCTTCCTTCCTTTCTTCTTTCTTTTTTAAAATGGAAGCTATGGCAGTAGATTGAAGGCTTCTAGCCTGCAAGAATCAGGAGCCTTTTTATAGGGATATGCTCAGTGTGGTGATAAAACATGAGTTGTGTTTTAAAAATAACACAATTTCAAATCAATAAAAAAATTTCAAACAACGCAATCACAAATTGAGCAAAGGATATAGACAATTCACAAAATAGAAAATCATTTTAATTTCAAAACATGGGCTATGCTCAAACTCACTGATAATCAAAATCCTACAAATTAAAAATGAATAAAATATTATTCCTTAGTCATACAATTGACAAAAATTTTGAAGCCTGAAAACACTGTATGTTGGTGATAATGGGTTTTCTTGTAAATTGATTATGGGAGTGAAAATATTCTGCACATGATTTGGGAGAACAATCTGAAACTAAATAGTTAAAGATAAATACACACACACACACACACGCACAGATGAACTACCCTCATTTATATTGGCTATACAAACTGGATTCTATCTGAATACTATCATTCTTTGAAATTTTTCTCAATGAAATTACTATCATTGCTTAATTTTAATATTTTTAATTATTAGTGAAGTTGAGCAATTTTCACTAGCTGGTCTCCTGTACATTAATTTTGCCTTTTGTAAATATCATACTGTCTTTTTCTAAGGAAATTGTCAGGGTTATTTTGTATTGTGATAAATTAATGTAATTTACCTGCAGAATATATTAAAATGATTAACATCTCAAAGTATAAAAAATTATTTCCAAGGCCAATGCCAAGGAGCTTTTCCCTTATGTTTTCTCCTGACTATTAGGATTTTAGGTCTTATTTTTAAGTCTTTAATCCATTTTGAGTTGATATTCACGCATGGTGTAAGACAAGGGTCAAATTTTATTCTTTTGCATGTGAATACACAGCTTCCCCACTATGGTTTATTAAAAAGATTATCCTTTCTCCATTGTATATTC